GGGCAGTCAACAGGAAGAGGAGCTGCAGTAATGACTTTCTGCCATCTCATCCAGAAGCATCCCCAAGGGAATTCTGAAACTTGTCTCCATCCTCTTGAAACAAGAAACTGACTTATACATAGCAAGGTGTGGGGCTTTCTGAGTTTGAGCTCAGGGAAGTCTTTTAGACAAATATGAAGTCTTGATAGAAACCCAGTGGAGAATACCCCGTCCTGTGCACTACCTCACTGTCAGAAACGCATGCTTTACTTCTAGTCTGACTGCATCTATGATCACCTGACAGCCCATGGATCTGGCTTCTTCTTGCAATCTGTTTTCCAGATTGCAAATCACCCCTTTATTATGTCTAGACATACAACAGTTCTCTGAGGTCACTTACTTGAGAGCTGTTTTCTCATGACCTAGATGCTTTCAGGTTTCTTCTTGATATCCCCTTTCCATTTGTGGTGGCTTTGAACCTTGGGCACTGGCATTGCACAGCAGCAGTGGCTCTGTTAAGATACCATAGCTTCATTATTCTCCCTGGTGATTTTCCTATTTATAGGTACAGGGATGCATTTTTTAGCTTTTGGCAAGATTGTGGCTTTGAATACTCACATGCAGCTGCTTATTCACTTCCTCTTTTTGGAGTCTCTACTTCCTAGGACAGTGACTGCATCATTCCTACAGATGCTGAGACACTAAGTAACCTGTGCTCAGCTTAACTTTGAAGTGACTCTCCTCTAATTCTGCGGTATCTTCCCACTTACTGTTCTGCATATGTTTGGGTGTTCAGGTTTTTTTTGTCATCTACAAGCTTTAACAGTAATTTTAGTAACTTACTGTTTACTAAACAGTAATCTGAATTGTTTATTTTACTTGAGTAAATAGGGAAATAGAGCATCAGCATCTTCAGAAGAGCTCCAGCAATATGGAAAGCAATAAACCAGTGTTGTGTTTCTACCTGACAGGATACGTTTTAAATCCAAACCCAGAGAGCCTTTTTGATGTTTACCTCGCTGACAGCAGAAAGAATATTAGAGGTAATAGGTTTCTAGAATTATGTTGAAACTTCCAATTTCTGAGAAGTGGGAAAAAATGAAGATAATTTCAGTCAGAAAATTAAAAAAGACTCTATTTGAAGACATACAAAAATATCTTCAGTGGTTTTTGAGGTGTTTATTGTACCGGGGGTGGGAGGCATTGCTGATTTTGCACGTCCATAATTTACCTCTTCTTAATGTTACTCACCCTCTGCTTCTACGGCATTTGGCTGTCAAATTAAGATTTCCTTCATATATGATAGAATCAAGAAAGATACTATTTTTCATAGGGACATGCTCTTGATTAATTCCCCCTTTTGGCTTAGGGTAGTGAAAGTGCTAAACATAGCACCGTAGAATCATAGAATAGTTAGGGTTGGAAAGGACTTTAAGAAACAATGGTCTAGTCTCAACTTATGTCCTGGCTGGTGCACTGCTGTTAGAACTTAGTGTGCAACTGATATGTTGTGTTTTTCTGCATACTTCTCCTTTACTTGTTTTGTGTCACAGAATCATTTAGCTTGGAAAAGATCTTCGAGTCCAACCGTTTAACCAGCACTTCCAAGTCCACCACTAAACCATGTCTCTAAGCACCTCATCTACATGTCTTTTAAATACCTCCAGGGATGGTGACTCCACCACTTCCCCGGGGAGCCTGTTCCAATGTTTGACAACCCTCCCCTGATGTTTGCTGTGAAACTGTGGGACTTCCTGTTGGTGCAGTTCAAGCACTGTGGCTCTGGGATGTCCATAACAGCTGTTTTAAGACATACAGTAAACAATTGCTAGTTGCATTTTGAAGCCAGGAGCAACCAAATGTTGTTTATACAACTGGTGGGCTTGCATCTAAAACTTTCAGGTGGGGCTCCCTTCTTATGCCAGGAGAGGAGGAGCAGTGGTGTGCATGAGCAAGGCTGAAGCCTCTGCCTTGGTTGCTTCCATTTCCCAATGTTTACAGGAATAACAAAGCATACACCCGCCAGGCGGGTATTCATTTTTTATGGGAATCTGTAACTTCCTTTCATCATGCAGAAAACTGTGTACTGTATTTCTGCTGTGCCTTTGCAATCTGAGTTTGTGGAGGTAGTTCTCAGCTGGCCATAGGTACAAGCAAGCTGAATGTGTATTTGCTCTCCTCCATCAAGCTGGCGTGGTCTGGCCATGTCAGATATAGTATCTCTGCACAATTACCATGAGTTGGATAACACAGGGTAACCCCTTGCTGGCTTTGTTCTGCTCTGGGATTTGCACCACCTGAGGCAATGCTGGGACCAGTTCTTCCAGGGTAAAGTGTCAGAGTTGGCCTTAGACCCTGCAACAGGAGACTTGTGGGGTGGGAGATACTGAAGGGAAAAAGTGTTGGGGGGTTGCAGGGAGATAGGTATTTTGATTTTGGGAGAGGGCGGTAGGTGCTAATAGATTGGAAGAAGTAAGAAGACATTTTTAGACAGGAGACTTGCTTAGGGACCTTGAGTAAGGAAGGGATTTGCTAATATACCTTTAAAAGACAGTCATAATTTGGGCTTGATAAACTTGTTAGTTTTGCAGTGGGTCCAGGTAATTTCCAAGCCAGACAGTGGTGTTGTATGTTGCTTTGTGTATTGCATTTATAGATGCTTAACGTTTATGTGGCCCTGTAAAGAAACAATGTCATTTTAAATACTGCAGACACCATTTCTTCTCTTGTGGTCTTAAGGTTGAGATAGAACTTCTAAGAATTATTTAACTTCTGTCATTGTAAATGCACTGCCACATTCACTGGTTTTTTGCAGTGCAGGTAGGTTTTGCAATGGTCACTCCCTAACATGCTGGTGCTCAGGCAGCATATACCAGCTTGTGCTTGATCCAAGAAATAAAATGAGTCAAAATCCTACTGAATGAGAGATGTGTGTTTGACATTCCTGGGAAATGCTATCCAGTATCCTTAGTATTATGCTACTAAGGGGACCTCTTAGCACAAAGACAGACAGAATGGAAGATGGTGCTGCTAATACTCATTTTTCTGTGTTTTGTACTTTTTGAACTTCTGTAACTTTCTTCCCATTATATTTGGTGTCTGAACTGAGTGTGAGGCAAGTGATTTTTATGCTCTGCTGCCCTCTCTGGTAACAGCGCTCATATTAATGGGTATAAGGAAAACCTCGAATGTGTTCTTTCACTTTAACTTGGAACAATTGTTCCCAACCTGTATTTAACTTGATGTCTACTTTTTTCCATGCACAAAACCACGTCTGCTTTTTAAACCAGCTGATCCAGCTGAAGAAAACCCTTCTGAACTGTGTGGATGATTGAATTTACAATGCTACTATTGTGACAGAGCTAGAAGTGGTTTGGGATGGTCACCCTTTGGAAGAAGACTTAAAATTGGTACTTCCACCTTATGCTCAAAGAAAGTCCAACTTCTCTGACCACAGAATGACTCCTTTATCAGGTTGCACAATCTGCCAGATGAGCAATGACAGAAGTATCCTCAGGGGTGGAAAGTTTTCTTAGAGTTGCCACACCACTTTCCTGATCTCAGGAGATTATGGTCACTGCAGGATTTAGGAATGCTCTGATGGCAGTGTGCTCTTTTAGATTACGGCTGCTTTAACTTATACTTTGATTTTTTTCAGGACCTAAACCAGAACAAGACAATTGCCCCCACCTGATTCAGCAGTTTGTGTGCCCACCTCTGCCTGATTTTTCTGTCCCCACTATCCCATTCTCCTGCAAATGATTTCATCTTCTGTTGGTGCTGCTTCATCCTCTCTGAGAGGGCAGTAGAGGGGCCACAGCAAGCTAAAACCAATCCAGATGTCAAGCTGGATAGGATTTTTCCTCTGTATACAATAATGAAAGCTCAACAGACCTCAAGTCTGCTCTTGTCAGAAGCCCTCCTGCAGAATTGTAGAACGCTGCAAGAAAGACCAGTGCTTTCAATAAAGGGACAGGATTTTTAGTTATTTCCTAGAAAAACAGAGGACTCTATCAGCTCAGAAAATACACACATCCTGTAAAAATACATATTTGTGATGCTCATGAGCAATGTTGTTAGCTCAGAGCATACAGTGCTCACTGTACAACAGGATATGGGGATTTAGTAGTAAAGATTTGGAAGAACATGGCAGATGTATTGTGTTAGAGGATACTTAAGTGCATAACAGACCAGTAAACACTTTCTGGTCTGGTACACTTTCATGTTCATTTGAAACTCAAAAACTCCTTTTTTAAGTTTGAAACTTTGAAACTCCTCACAAACTCAAATGCTGAAATATGGCTATATTTGCTTTTAAATAGGCATTTAAATGGAACATAAGGAAAAATTTAAAAACAATTAATTAAGTTAAGGAAAAAATGTTCAATACTTTTAACATATTCCTGCTAACAGATAGCTACGTTTTCAATCTTTTTTTTTTTTTTTTTTTTTTTTTTTTAAAGGTTACATTGTGCAAGATGGGGCTATCAAGAGAATTAATAAACTAGTTTAGCTTATTCTTCCTTCAAGATCACGATGATGGAGCACTCTCTGGTAAGTTTTACATGGTGCTTAACTTAGCCCTCCTTTGGATATTTTGTTGTCTGAAGTAACTGAACCTGGAGTCTGAAAAGAGCTTATATGAGCCTGCTCAGGCTGAAAGACGAATCCTGTCTGATAAACCCCCTCCGTCCTTCTCCCCACATAGCTTGGGAAGAGTGGTAGTGGGGAACAAAGTTTTGCAGTACATTGTGTGGTGCAGGGGTGAGACTTTAACATACAAATATCATGTTCCTTTTAGTTTACACAACATGTAGCAATTTTACCACATGGGAGCTATTGGGTGTATCTTCTGGGTAGGTATTTAATCAGATGGCCATACCTACATAGAACAGTTCTTAATTTACGGGTCACATGCTGAGTTTAACAATGGGACAGGAAACTCTTTTGTTATATTTATAAACAATGTCTGTGGCTTACTTTGCTTTGTATTATGACGTGTTTCCTTTCTTAACTGACAGAAACTTAAGCGTAGCCACGATGGTACTGAGCAAGCTGTATCTCAGGGTTGTGAGTCTCTGTGATCAGCACAAAGGGGCTTTTCTGTCCTCATTGGTCTGTTGATGTCCTGTTTCCCATGTAGGCAGCTGTGTGGATGAGGCTGGATCCAGACCTGGGATTGGATAGGCTCAGGTCACATCAGGGAAGTGAACACAGTCTTTGCTGCTGGCTGGAGTAAAGCTTGGCATTGCAGCCTCTCTGTGTGCCTTAACAAGCCACTTAGCTTTTTTCAGTCTTCTCATTGGTATAAAGATGTTAATGCTCTTCTGAACCTTTTCAAGATGAAGGTCCAGTAGTAGAATCAGGCTTACTCAGTGGTGTAGGAACTTTACTGTTTGATTTATTGTTCCCCCGACCCCTTCTCGCTGTCTGTGAAAGGTATCTCTGAGTATACAGAGTCCCTGGCTGTTACTATGTCTCATGTATCTGGATGTAACACATTTCTATATACTCTTCTGCAGTTGCAGATGGATTTATTTTTGCGTTGTTTGAGATATAATCAGATACACAGGATAAAAGTCTTTCAGTTATTACATTTCTATGCATCTTTACTATTCCTCACAAATACATCAAGTCCAAATGTAACCCACAGTCCACTGCCAAAAAATGTTTGAGGCTCACATGCTTAAAACGACATGGGTTTAGGTGTTCTGCTGAATTGTGGTATTAGCTTAGAAATAAATGGTTACAGGTTTGGGCCTTTAGACTTTTTTTTTTTTTTTTAAGAGTGAGCAGGAAAGTAGTGACCTCTGAGGAGTGACATGCTTTTCTTGCTGTACATTAGTTATACTGCTCTTATCTGGTGTTCTAGTGTTCAAGAAAAGCACCAGTCCTGGAAGCTTGTATCAACATTTTTTCAATACAGAAACATCTATCCTGCTTAGCTGTGTTCTGAGAGAAAGATATCCTGTAAGAGCATAGTCTAAGGGAGCAGAGATATTCTGTAAGTAATAGAGCTATATAAGTTTACACTCGAGAAGTGAGGAAGATAACTAACCTGTCTCCATACTTTACCCAGAATTTATATTTGTCAAGCTTTTCTTCTCCAAAAGCACATTGATAAACAGCACTCACTGATACATGAAAGTAGCTGGGCTGTTTCATTGACTGTCTCTAGTTTTTCCTCTTTTCCCAGTGGTGAAAAAACTGGCAGAATTTGAACTTGCTTATGTGAGTCTTCAGAGCATGAAGGAGTTGCACTGTAAGCTTGGGATCAGAAAGTGGTGAGCAACAAGCTTAAGAGAAACTACCAAGATGTGTGATCACTGCTATGAACAGAGAAAGAAATCCCTTGAATAACTTGTCTACAAAGTCTTTAAGCCTCAGCAGCTAAACTATTTTTCTCTGAGACCAATTTGTTACTGGAATTGATTGGCCCTGCAGGTTTTGCGTTTTATCACTGTAGTATTCCTGAAAGTGTCCTTTTCTGCAGCTAGTTATTTATTCCCTCTACTCTTTCAAAACCTAGAGATGTGCTTTGTGGCTGCTTTCCTCCTAATTTTTATGCCTGCATAATGCAGTGATCACAAATGGGAATATACTTGTAAACAATATAGGAAAGAACTTTGAGTTCTGAGTTGCAAGCTGCAACTCTGTTCGGGCAGAGATAGGTTACTTTATATTGAAAGTGCTCATTTCTATATGCTGATACAAAAGATACCTGAGGCCATAGCTTGAGCGTGTCTTCTGGTAAGTAGCCTGGCTTAAGCAGCAGTGCACTTTTCCCCTTTCATTTGCTCAAACCTCGGGCTCCTCCTCAGTTATGCTGCAACTGTGTGGCAGGCATGGTGAACTAGACTGGTAAGCTAGCTTGGCCTAAAAATAAGTTGCTGGCTGTTAATTTTATTTGGTTTTGCTGGCATATTTCTGGCCTGGGTCAGTGACCCAGTCCTGTTTGCTGTGCAGCAAATGGTTGTGCTGACTTGTGGGTGAGGATAAATCCTGGGGACCGGGAATCTGGTGCCAAAGTTGTACTTGTCAAGCAGTGCCCTGGGGGTGCAGTTAGGCAGTACAGCTGAGCCAGGCTAATGGCTCACCCCTGTGATTGTGGCTTGGACTGCTCCCTGCAATGAAGAAGGCAAAAAGGGAATAGATTTTTGGATGCTTAGTGAGTTGTATTGGCTGCATCAAATGAATGCTAGAGCAAGGACCATGGCTGGGAACGGAAAAGGAAGAACAGACCACACCTTCTGGTGGCAGCAAGCAAGGTTGCTTGGCTTGGAGGTACACAGAAACCTGTTTGATGCTTGTAACTTCTCAAGTTCAAATCTGCTGGGTTAGAGCTTGGCCTCTGCAAAGCTTTCTCTGTTTCCCTTGTAAACTGCAGAACCTATCAGCCTAATAAAAGAACTGCATGGTTCTAAGGCATGACAGTGTGACTGTCTGAGGAGGTATTTCTCCACCTAGCACAGCTGCAAAGCACAGAGGTAGGAAATGGCAGTGCTGGGGTGGTTTGTGTGCTGCAGGCAGTGTATCACCTGCACGATGCAGCTGTCCTGCTCTGTTCCTGCTCTCATGTAGACTTAACCTAAGCTGCTTTCAATGAAGTGGCTTAAGCTAGCTGCTGCAGCATGGCACTTGGATAACTATTTAACTTGATTTGTTGCTGTGCTGCAGCAGTTCTACAGTAGCTGGTATTGCAGCTGGCTGGTGTAAGGTCTTGTATGTCAACACTGCAGCATGGCACTGGATGCTCCGAGAGTCTTACCAACTCTTATGTAGACAAACTGAGTTGTTTGAGGAAAAAAAGAGGAAAATTTTAGTTTAAATTGCAGCTGTTATGTTTGATACCACCAAAATCAAGGTGAAGAGATTGGATTTCCATTCTGCTACAGTGCGTAAAGAATAAGCATAGTACACAGTTCAGGGGCACAACTGGTTTTTGTTTCGTTAATCTGGTAAGTAATGGGATCTTTCCAGGTTGTGCTCCCACCATATTTAGCTGAAAAATCAAAATGCCATATTTAGAAGCATGTCTTTATATTTTATTACTTTTTTTCCCCCCCTTGGCTTGGAAAAGGTATATGGATCCTTCTCTTGACATACTGCTGATGGATTATACAGCTTCACCGATTTTGCTATATATGCAGGTAAAGCTGAAAGGTCTTTGTAATGTTGAAAGTTAACTTTCCAATATTAATCTTTCATACAAATTCTTTAAATGTTTGTAAAAGGTCCCTGTTAAGCACTGCTTTGTTATGCTTTTCTAAGTGCTGGGTATAGCTGTTCCTTTTCCTCTCGAAAGTCATGTACTAGAGATTCTAACTCATCAGTGCTTTGTACATGGGAAAAGCATTCACGAAAAGGACATATTTAGGTATTTGTCTACTCTGTTTTCAAGTGTATGTATGTACCTGTATCTGTAATATGTAGGCACTCTGCCATGACATGAGAGCATTTGATTTCTGAACTGTAGGTGTGTTGAGCTATACTAGCTTTGGAAACTGTTAATTCAGGAGGAAAGAACAGTGTAGAGTGAACTTGTCCTAAAATCAAAGGCCTTGTTTAAAAAAAGCTTTCTCTGTGTGTTTCTAAATGTTTGTGTGCAAAAGGAAATATATTTTTGTTGGCTTCTTTGGCTATTTAAAAAATTCTTTTAAGGCAGTCCAGGAAGTTAAGAGGAATTGTGTTAAACCAACAGAAGGGCAGGTGCAGGAACTTGAATTTCTACAAAAAAAGGCAAACAAAGCAAAGCTAAAATGGTATTTGAAAAACAACATAAACAGATCAAAGCAGTGGTTTTAGAAGCAAAGATGTGACTTTTAAAATAGAGCATGGTTTTATGGAGTGGTTTGAGCTAGAGACCCAGGTCTCCCATCTCCTGGTTAGATACTGAGCCACCAATAGAAAGGAGGTTCCCATCTCTGCTAGCATTTTAAAATATCCGAACAGAATTCCTTTGATCCCAAAGGTTAGCAGGAAGTTTTTGACTGTGAAAGCTATTCTTTATTTGCTGAACTTGGGTGCAAAGGTTTGTCATCCAGTTTGGGAGATGAGACGGAAATTTAGAGTGCTGGGACTAGTGTTCTCATAGTTCTCCTACTGGTTAGTTTTTCCGATCGTCATATCTGATAAGCATCCAAAAGACTCAGCTCATTATATTCAGTGTGTGTGTGTGTGGAGAAATGAGGTTTCTAAGTCTGGACTGTAAGTGCTATTCTCTGAATCAAGCACTGACATATTGTGGTGAATC